TTATGGAGCATAAAAAGTAGCGACAATAATTCAAAGTGCAATTGAAATGCGGCACGGGCAAGAAGGTATTTAACGAAGATAAATGTGCTGCAGAGGCTCTTTCGGGTAGAAGATGTTGGTGGGTGTTCTTGGAGTGGAGGCAATATACCTTTCTCAGTCAAACAAAAATTAAGCAGAGGCAAATTAAATTACGTGGCGTTCAGGCAGCGCTTTTTTGTTACCAACTAAATTTCAACAGACCGAAGACTTTATACAGATACCCAGACGGTGCTTGAGTCGACAAAAACAACTATTTTCGAGCAGCCGAAGCTGATGTTAATACATGAAAATTTCATGAGAAAACTTGTCAAATTGCAACAGTAGATCTCAAAACTGGCGCATACACATGTGATCTGCTGTTTGCTTGCTGTAATGACAGTGGAAGTGAATCATTATAAAGTAGCGAAAGGGAGTTCCGAGTCCCGAATCGATGACGAAGAAATAGGCCTTCCATGAACCGTCTGTGACAAAGTACGAATGGCAATCGGTCGACTGAAGATCAAAAAAGCGGAGGGAACCGATGATTTGCCGGCTGAGCTTTTCAAATATACCGGAACCGCAGAACCTACAAGCAGCATGCGTCTGAAAAACTTGATCGGATGAGTACCTCACAAAATGGAGGTCCCCAAAATCTACACATACAGTCGTTTTATAAACCTCAGACCCTTTCTAACTGACACTCGATTCTTTTCACATGGCTTTAGTCTAGAAGTTGGCATGTAGTGTATATCCGGGTGGACATAGTGAATTTATCATGTCCAAAGTCACATCATAGATTATGAAAGACTAAAGTACACTGTCAAAAAAATGTTTGGACCTCAGAAGTGTGGCTTTGGAACTGATAAATTCACCATGATAGACCAGATATTCATAATATGCCAAATTTTTGACAAGAGGCGTGAGCAAAGGATCTGTCTACAGCAGCTCTTTGTCGGTCTAAATAACCTCCGGTAGCACGACAAGAAGCACGTCGCTTTCTCTCTGATTTGGGTTTTCCCGCAAAACTTATTCGGCTATGTGAACTGACGCTGAGCAACACTAAGAGCTCCATCAGTATCGGCTTCTCCTTGATCCATTTCCTACGTGATTTCAAACAAGATTACTCTTTATTGTGTCACTTCTTTAACTACGATTGTACAATTGCTGTACAAAATATTGATATCATCGAGCTTAAAAACAACGCCGTGAGTTTTGCTTACTCCCTACTTGAGTAGAAAGCAAGAATAAGACGTCATATGATCATCAAACAAATAGCTAACACATTTACATCTTGGATCCCACGTGACTGTTAGCTGTCAAAACTTAGAAGTCGTAGATAACTGCGTCTATCTCAAAGCCAGCATTAACCCTTCGAACTGAGTAAAGTTACAGTTGCCGCGGATCCCAGAATAGGAATTTGTTCTTTTATTATTCTGAAGAGGATTGCTACAGAAGAGGACAGCTACATTTGAAGCTAAGGACTCACGTTCGCAGATAAAGCGAGTAAGAGCAGGAAAATGACCAACACAATAAGAGTATTCTTATTAGCGTAGATAGCACAGCGGCGATTAGAGGCTAACATTAATACAGCTCAAAAGCAAATCTCACTTTTATTGGGTACCAGGTCCTAAGGGTATGGAAGGCAATGAGATAGCCGATGAATTTACCAAGCTAATGTACAATGGGATGGGTTCGGTAACCGATTGAGAAGCGATTACGATCTCTGCCAACTCGTTGTGAGTTCATTCGGTGATCGTGTTGACGAGCTTCATGACCGTTCGGTATCAATTCTTGCACGATATTGCATAGTTGATCGAATTATCGACTCTGCTGGGCGGTTATGTCGATCGAGTAAAGAAGGCAGCGAACCATTATTTTGGTAATAAATTTGCACAAATTCCCAGCGCTGTTCCGGAGTTAGTTTGTAAATCAAGTCAATTGAAAAACATTCATTTTGAAAACAAAATTTTCACCAAAAAAAAAAAAAAAAAAAAAGGCTTTTGAATGCACTTTATACCCGATTTAAGGGACCCATAAGATTAGATTAATTTTTAAAAGCGAAACCACGCAAAACTAAGCTGGGTAGAGGCTAAGACTGAGCTCAGTCTACAGCATAGATCTTCCATAAACTAGTCAAATATAAAACAAAGGTTTACAGCCACCAAATAGTTTACCGTTGTTGGTGGCTACAATATGCATACTTATTTATGTATCGAAAATATGCAATTAAATGTTTGTTTTATTTTTTACAAAAAAAAAAAAAAAACAAGGAAAACCGAGAACTTGTCTGTATTGTTGCGCCTCCTCAAAGCAAGCGTACCACACTAGTGATTGTGGTGGCCTCCTCCTCTGGAGAGCCATAAAATATGTATTATATTACGAACGCTCATTTGTCAAGTAATTTTTCAATATGCCCATTATGTTTTCATCAAAAGTGGCTGTGAAATGAACGGTGAAGGTGGAGATATGTATGTCCGGTTGCCGTAGAGCGCAGAGCGAAAGGAGGAGCCTCCGAGTATTGGCCAACTAGTAGAGCATACAATCAGCGAGTAACGAGTAGGTATGTAGCAGCCTTGCGCCGCGACGCAGAGCCCTTGAAAGCTTCTACGCCACAAGTAGAAGTAATGGGAGTCTTATTGAGCGCGCTACGGCGGAAGCCCACAAAAGAATGCTGTTAAACCTGAAGGACCTTAACAAGGCACGTCAAAAAGGCATGCAGGCACGCAGGCAGTCACCAGGCTGACGGGTCGAGCGACGGACCGCAGCGTTGCAGATGTTTGGAAGGCAGCAACTGATTGTTGAAGTAGGGACAGTCAACGCAGTAGCAGCAACATCATTACAATTATTTGTATGTTGCCTGCCTGTGTAGCATTGAGTAATAAACAAGCAACAACGAGGTAACAGCTACTGGCCATAACAGCATGACAGCAGCAACAAATACGCGCGTGCACCAACATACGTATACATATATGTTTGTCTACTGTCTGCTCACTGCAAAATAGCAATTTAAACGCACGGCTAAGGTAATCATCGATGCCGCCGCCGTCGGCTGCCGTCCGCTCGCATATCCTTTTGTTGTGATTATTAATTTTCATGTTGTAAGCGCAGCCACATCCATGGCGTGGAAATATGACTGTTGGCGTGGCGACAATAGATCGTTCAGAGTTACGCAGCGACTTGTTAATTGTGGCAAACTTGGCTATGCCGGTGTCTGTGCGTGCGTTGGGTAATCGAGCAATCAGTCGAGTTGTCGAGAGAATATGAAAAATTTTATACATAGTGATTGAACATGGCCCTCTTGTTCTTCTTTGAATCAATAATAGTGCAGATCCGCGACTCCACATGATCTTTGAAGAGATGATGGACTTTTTTTAACCCGCCCCTCTACAGGTTACTGCATTTCTCACTATCAAAGTGCATTTGGTTTACCCAGATAACGTGACTTAGCTCGCGTTGCCGCTATTTCTTTATTCACACATTCATATATTTCATACTTCATACTCAGCGTCATGAATGTTACGTAAAAACCTCCGAAACTCTTGGCATCGGCTTTACTTAGAATTTACAGCTTCTTTGCGGGCCGTCGAATGCTGCCTTAAGGTCAAAGGAGAGTTTGCAGAGTGTATATTGACTCTTTTCTAAAAGATATATCTTGTCAAAAAGCTTACTCATTAGCTCCGATTAGACGTTTTATGTTGAGCTTTATTCGCTCGCACAATACACTGTAATACTACATCGATATTGAGAAGATTTAACTCACCATAGTCTGAGTTTTCTGCTCTCTCTACAGTCCTGCGGCAACTTGAATAAAAGTTTCTTGTGCTGGGCTCGCGAAGAGACCTCGCCATATACCACCCTTTTAGCTATGAGCAATTTCAACCGGGATATCCTAGTTCATCACCCTCTCTTTTGTTACACAGAATCACTCTTGGCAACAGGTTGGTACTTTTGGCTGGTAGGCAAGTAAAGTCCTCTTCTGAGGAACAAAAACCAAACTCTACAAGTCCCTCATCATCACTATCCTACAATATGTTGCAGAAGCGTGGACGAAGTTGACATATGATGAGTCGGCCCTGGGAGTTTTCGAGAGAAAAGATTTGCAAACCATTTATGATCATTTGCCATTGGCAAGGGCAAATACCGCAGACGAGTTATACAATGAGATTGGTTCGTTAGTACGAATGAAAACACTTCGGTCTTGAAAGTGGTGGAAGAGAAAGACCTTTACTTCGAGGAATGAGGCTGAGAGCGGCCTGCTTTCGCTTGGTATTTCTAACCAGCGCTATTCATGGAAAAGTTGAGATGAATGTCGCGATGTTTTTGATTCGGCTATAATCGTAAGCGGTACCAATGCCATTAAAGAAGAAGAAGAAATAACGAGGGCCATGAAAATTTCACAATAACTAATTCTTTCCCGACCTCGGCGAGTTCCATTTAGTTTTGGTGGTTGAATAAGTGACGTTTGGAATCTCTATTGTTTGGTGGTCTTTCGTAGTATGCACAGCAAAAGCTGGAATAAGTATTTGAAATTTTTTTAGTTCTTATTGGCAATGTCTTTGTAAGAGTCCGAAATATGTGAGATTTTGTTTTCGAGATACTTCTAGCAGTTAGTAATTGTCTTATAAGTTCAAGAGCACATTAAATAACAAATTGCCAGAGCGAAATATCACCCATCTTCGTTTCAGGGCAGATTTGTTAAAAGCTTGAAAGCTCCTCGGCTACATAAGATGGCGAAGAGAGAGAAAGAGAGAGAGAGAGAGAGAAGCTCATAGTGTAGAGAGATTACGCGATGAGTGAAATCGGTGTGTCATATGTGATCCTATGGGAGTTTCTTAGCTTAGCAGTGGGATGCTTTCTATCTCTAAAAAGTCTATACAAAAACTTTTTCCATTTCCTAGACTACTACGCATCTTAATATCCTTTCGAAGTATGTCATGGGCAAATAGAAATTTTTTTGAATATACTTATGTACGAGTAAATAAGAGATTGGATATAAAAAATTGTAGATATACGTATGTAAATATATATGTGCAAGTATGTAGGCGGATTCTCTAAGTACGACATACAAAAAAGGGGACATATTCAAATTATGCGACCGGATGAATCATGTCTCAAAGACTTTTCGCCGACAATTCTACAAAAGCTAAATAAAAAAATAAATAATAAAAATTATATAAATTGAGTTGAAGTAAAAAATAGAGAAAAAGTTCTGAAATTTCGCACATTTGTACGACGATATGATACGCTTCAGCAACGTGTTAAGCAGAAATGAAAATAAAATACAACAACAACAACTAATACAAAATAAGCAGCCGTCATATCCGGCAGATTCATACAGCTGTCTGTCTGTCGGTCGGTGTTCAAATTGTCAAACCACAAAGCAAATACATTCGTATGTATATATGTTTATATAAATTTAAATATTATTATATGTATATACAATAGTGCAGCCAACACAGATTCCAATTGAAGCATTTAGAGACTCACTCACTCAAATGTATGTATATGTATACATTATATTTTGAAGCATATATTCATCATTGTATATTTCCACATCTCCATTCCAGCTGCGGCTGTGGAGCTGTTTACGTTTGAAGAAGAAGCATCACGCGTTGGCATATCAATTACAAGCCACACTCAGTTCCACGCCAAAAAAGGAAGAAATTACTTCATTATTTGCTGACTGCAAAGCTTTGACACTTGCGCTCTGCTAGCTCCTACTGGGTTTTTTATATTTATTTTTATTTTTTTTATTTTTTTGTTGTTTTTTATAATTCAAGCGGAAGTTGAAGAGCAAAAAAAGAAATAAAATTAATGACTGAAATGTTTGCAAACAATCGGAGCCAAATATATTAAGAGCATCAGGATATGCGAAACAATTGACATTTGACAGTCAAGCAGACGATAATTCTCACAGCTATGAGCTGGCACTCAGAGAGGGAGTTACAAAGATACTCGAAAATGCTTTAGAGATAAGAATTGCCCGATTAGTCGAATGGTTAACAGTTCATTGTACTATGCCTAGAGATATGGTCTCGAAACTTTAACCAGAACAACATTCATAATTATAGAAATCCAATTTTTCTAATTGAGAAAAGCGAAGGCCAAGAAATATCAACCTCTCCGAGTGTATTTCTTACAGGAAACTAAAACTTCTCATAAAAATTCATTCGGTGTCAGCTTGGACGGAACTAAGATACCAATATTTGTTTTGGAAAAACTCCAAACGCACTGCTCAATTTGAAGGGAGCAGATTAGTCGTGAATCTCTTGAATTTATAGGAAGTGCGTTTCTAAGAGTGCTTCAAATTTTATTTCCGATTTTTATTTAGGAATACTCATAATCAGATTTCAAATCTAGCCTTGAATAACACAGCTGAAATCTACTATGAGACAGAGCTGTCAAGGCTGAGTAAAATCGTGGCAAGATCAATAAGCTTCCCACCAGGTGTTGTCCTCTGCCCTAGGTTAAAATGCCGGGCGAAAAACTCTGCTCACTTTAGGCGATCTGACCCATGGATACCTGAGTCTGGTACCTATAAAAATTGTAGCTCGACGTTAATCTCAATAAGGCAAAGTTTAATTTTTTTTTAAGAAAAAGGTCCATACTTCCTCATGCGTCTTCTCTTTCAATAGGAGGAACTCGACTGCAGATGGCCGATCAAAAATTGTGAAGAGAATTAGCGATAGTCGGGTGTTCGGTTCGAGACCGAGCGATGAGTGCGTTCCTTACTATGGCATCTAGAAATTTCTGAAAGTGTAGATCACTGCGCTTACAATTCTTAGGCTCGTTCGGTGGCCTAAGTGATTTGATGCCAAGCCTAACCTAAACTCGACGAGCTGTTTAGGATTGTTGCAAGTACACAAAATGGGCTACAGAATAGGTGTAGATGTAGGTGAAAATATTTAATAAAACTTATAGTATTTAAAAAAACTAAGGGTGACCTTTCAACCAGTTGTCACAGAATCTTATTTTTGCTAGAGACCATAAGAACTCGCTCAACCCTCCCACCTTCTAATGCGATTTTATTTCAAGGCACTGAAAACTGAACCAAAAACTCAACCACAACAAAAAATTTCACGAAAATGGTAATATGATTTTTATCTGAATACAAAAAATCGAAGTAATTTTTTTATAATTTTTTCCCAATAAAACTCACTTCGTTATCGCATTTCGCTGCGGCAATTTCGCATTCGCCATTGAAAACAACCAACAATTAGTTGCGAGAACAAAAATATTGTGACAGCATTTTTGACAAAGTGTCGGCGAGGTGGGGTGCAACATAATGCGTGAGTTAAGGAAAAAAAAATTGCATTTTGGTGTGTGAAATTCGGCACACACGTCGAGATTTCACGGCGATCTGCTGCCATCAGCCAGCAGATAATTACGCAGGCGTCACCAAGCGAATGCTATTTATCACATTTCAAAACAATGCAACAAAAGAAACAAAAATATAAAATGCAAACACACACACACACACACAAACATATCTGCATGCACACTGCTCCATCTATAAATGCATTTATTTATTTGTTTGGAAATCAAAAGTGTGCGCGTGAATTCACTACAACTTTTGGGAAAATTCGCTAGCTGAATGGCAAACGCAAAATCAACAATATCAACAGAGCGGCCTGAGAATTCGAAAATATGCACCTCGCTGAGTGTTAATAATGTATGTGCAATATCCAAAAAGCAGGGGTGCATATTAAACCACACTGAAAGGGAAAGTTGCAGATGTTTATGGCAATGCTTCGGGCCTTATTTTTCTTATTTCACTATTAACGAAGTCGATGCTTTAGCATGAATGAAAATAGGGCGCTTTGGTAGCTGGAGGGTTGTTTGGCAGCACTACGATGCATAAATGCAGCTTTTTCCATCTTCAAATTTCACTTTCCCAATTTTATTTTATTTTTCTCATAAACTATTTTCGCAATGCTAATTATTATGCGGAGCATTGCATTGAGATTTATTTGGCTTGAATGCACACATACCCACTCAGACCCTTACAGACTCATCCATAGTACTTAGATATTTACACGAACTCACATACATATTATACTTGTGTATGCACAATGCAGTTTTGATAGTTCTAAGTGCTTTTGTGAGGGGCGTTGCCACATGCCACATAACTTTCACTCTCGTGTTGCAAATAATGAAGAGGGTAGTCAAATTTGTTCAAATGTATGTAGTTATGCTGAATAGTTCGTTTACACAGCACTTGAATGTAATTAAAAATAGGAAATATGCTTTCTCTCGTTCATTCATAAATTCATATTTTCTTTAAACAGCTCTAAATTGGGATATCCACAAAGGGTGGGCAAGAGAGTGAGAGTGTTTTGTGATTCTCGAACAGAAAATATGAAATAAAATAAAAAAAAAAATACATTAAAAGACAAATAAAATAAATGAAAATAAAGTAATTTAACTAAAAAATAAAATAAAATTTGATGAAATTAACTAAATTAAAGAAATGTTCAATAAAATAAATAAAAAAAAATAAAACAACATAAAATAAATAAAATTCTGTAAAATAAAATACAAAAGTAAAATTAAATATAAGGAAATTAATAAAATTAACTAAAAGTGCAAGAAAATAAATAATTAAATCAAATAAAATAAAATGAAATATAATAAGCTAATTTAAAATTAAATAAAACAAAATAAAATAAACTAAATTAAAATAAACCAGAATATAATAAAACTTATTAAACTAAAATAATATAAAATAAAATAAGTTGAAATAAATTAAAATAAAATTAAGTGAAGTAAAAAAACAAAATAAAATAAAAAAGTTAAATAAAGTAACCTTAATTAAAATAAAAGGTATAATGAAATTAATTGAATTCAAAATAATATACAATAAAAAATAATTTAAATTAAAAAAAGATATTAAACAGAAAAATAATTGAAATAAAATAAAATATAATTATATTCATTAATTCAAAAGAAAATAAATAAAATAAGATAAAATTGTATAAAATAAATAAAATTAATCTAAATTAATTAAAATTGAATTCAATAAAATAAAAAAAATTACATAAAATAAAATTGAAATAAAATATAATATATAATATCAAACAAAATCAAGTTAGTTCTATTAAGTAAACTACGAGACCTTGTTGTTTAAATGAATTGAATATTTGTTATGTATTATATGCCGCAAAAAAACAAATTATAAAATCAAATTAGTTATGTAAAATTATATAAAATTAAAAAAATTAAATAAAATTAAATGAAATAACACAGCAGAAAAAAGTTAAATTAATTTTAATGCATTGCAATAGAGAAGTGTAAAATCAAAATTTTCTAGTAAATAAAGTAGGATGGAATGAAATAAAAAAAATTAATAATTTAAAATTAAAATAAAATAAAATAATTTGAATTAAACTAAGATAAATCAAAATATAACAAAGTTAATTAAATAAAAATAAAATAAAATTAAATTAAGATATAAAAATAAAAAATTAATTGCAATTTAATAAAGTAAAATGCAAAATAAATAAAGAAGGAATATAAGTACATAAACTTAAATTGAATGATATAAAATAAAAACAAAAACTAATAATAAAGTTAAATAAAATAAAATAAAATAAAATAAATGGGACTAAAAAAACCATAAAATAAAATATAATATAATATAGTAAAAAAGTTAAAAAAAATTAAATAAAGTAAAATAATCTATATTAAAATTAAAATTTAATTATAAAATTAAATTAACATAAACTAAAATTTAATAAAATAAAAAAAAAACTTTGAATAAAATAATGAAATACAAAATGAAATAACAGTAATTAAATTAAACTAAATGCATTGCAATAGAAAAGTATAAAATCAAACAAGTAGAATGAAATGATTAAAAAAAAAATAAAATTAGGTCAAATCAAATTAAGTGACCAGCTTTTACTGCTTCTTCAGCTGTTGCTAGGTAATATATAGGTTGTCAAATATCTCCCTTCCGCTTTTTTGAGAATTTCGGCGTTAGTGAACTCCATGTTTACACGTCTATAACTGTTGAACGCAATATCCAAATTAATCATGCATAGCGTTGTTTTGTAGGTTATGTCAGATACGAGCTCTATAGCGCTTTGTACATAGCCGAGAAATTCAAAAGACAAAAAAGCGGTAAGGAGATATTTGACAACCTTATATTTGCGATTGGCACTTTAGAACGGCTTATGAATTATTAAGAATTGCTTTTATTTCATGGTAGAAACAGAATTTGAGTTTTAAATTTTAATTTTAAAATTGGTCCGACCAACTTTTCTTGACCATTGGGTACCCCTGCGGTAGCCGATAAAACTCTCTCTCATGTAAGCTTTCTTTTTAGATTATTCTATAATTTCGTTCCCCTTTTCCTCACTGCTCACAAAATATTCAACATGTCAAGATAAAATCGAATTGCATTCATAAAAATGTTAACTGAAACTTTTTCCAACGTGGCCACTTCAAACAATGATGATGATGATGATGTCGCCATCCTTAATTTATGTGAAAAAAATAAATAAAAAATCAAAAGATATTCATACTGTAATTATGTTTTATAGCACAAGTAAAATATGTAATTATAAGTAATATAACAAAAGGCAATAAACACTCGTTGCCAATTACGACGGCAATGAAATGCAATCAGTTGCAATTGTCAGGCCAGCGCTGGTGGTGGCGGCGGCAGTTGGCTGCACAGGTTGTTAATAACGTTGACAATTGTGAAAAAGTTAAGTAATTTTACCTTCGTTGCATAGGAATTATTATTTCATGCCATATAAATTCATAAACTT